GGTGGAAGGTCAAGAGGGGTGGAGATGGGGATCGATACCTCACAAGGAGATGGGAAAGGGACGTGTGTGTGTGTGTGTGTGTGTGTCCACCCTTTTCCGTCTTTATGTGAAAAATGATATGAGTCGTGTGTATTTTATCTTTGTGTACTGTATGTGTGTGTGTGTGTGTGTGTGTGTGTGAGTGTTTGTTTGATAGCCGGTCTCTGTCGTCCTTCAGCTGACAGTGAGGTGGTTTCTCTCTCTGACAGTAAAACATCACACACACACACACACACACACACACAGAGCTGTAGCAGTGTCCGGGCAGCCGATACATGCCTATTGATCAGTGACATCTGTCAGCTGACAGTGTTTGTGTGTAATTAGGGATCAGACTGATTAACTGCTGCGTCCATCACGCAAACACAGAGAGGAGAACAGCTTCATGTCACTTATTGCAAACAGTGGTGGAAAGTAATTAGCTATATTTTCTCAACCAGTCTAATTAAAGTCCAGGTGAAGTAAAAAAGGCATTTTAACCCTTTAAGATCACATCCTCTGTTATATTGTTCCCCTGTTTGACAATTTATGCCATTTTAGCTAGTTAGCTTATGCAGCTAATGTTAATCCACTTGTACCAGGTGATCTATCAGTACGCCTCCAGATTAAGTTTTTCTAAATGCACAATAGATCCTACTTTATATCAGCACAATAGGCACAAATGTTTTAATACACATTATATTTTTCTGGTGCCATCTTCCTCTTTCAGCTCCACAACTGGTACAAAACAGCTAAAATCATCACAATCATCTCTTATATATTACAGAATAATGAAAAGATGCTAGCAGATGCTAACAGGGTTTTTAGACTGGCCATATCTCTGTGTGCAGTCTGAAGATATGTTGTACAGTGAGATTAGCCAGCTGACCACAAACACTGGATATCTATTTGATCAGACCGCAGCAGCAGTAGCTAATTTTCTCTTGCAAAACTTACCAAATTGCTTTTAGCTCAGAAACCATTTTTTTCCCTCAGAAAATTGGCTCAGATGGAGCAGATGTCCGTATGTCTGTCAGCACGAGAATCACTTCAGTTTAAAAAACCAGTTGGGAGTCACTGAAGTGAAACGTTTCTGACAGAGCTGCAGAATCGCAAGAGAGACAGCCAGATTGATACCGCAGTAACAAGTTTGCATCAAAGCCAGTTAAAAAAAATATTGATTACAAAGTTTTTTTTTGTTTTTTACTTTTATTTTCAATGAGGTTGCAAAGGTTTCAAAGTCAGAGATGAAATGAAACGGTGAGGTCCGCTGCTGCTGCCTGTTCTTCAGTAATATAATCTCAACTTAATCTCTAGAACCTTTTTCCTCAAGGGAACCTTTTTATATCATCCACTAAACTGACAACCCCAAACTAAATTACATAATTTTAGGGATATTTCATATTATACTCAATGCATAACAGTAAAAAAACAACTGTAAAAACATATAAACTGCAGGAAGTTGGTGTAAAAGTAGCAATTTAGATGAATTTTGAGCAGAGATCAAGTGCGAACCGTGACATCACCCACTGTTTTGAAGCCTCCAGTTTGGTGTTTTGGCTGCCGCCATGACAGTAAAACGGAGCCACTGCGAGCCACCGGACATGACGTACTACGAGTTGAGCTGCTCTCATTGGCTGCGCAGTTTCAACTCGTCCATAGCAGGAAACAATGGCGGCTCGCCTGGTCACATACAATCTGAAGCTGTAAAAACACACTCAGCATCAGTGTTGTGAATGTTTGACTTTGGCTGTGAGAAATATAGGAATCCACCCAAAGTCAAACTTTTATCTTCCTTTTATTATTTCCCTGTGTGTTTCTGCTCGCAGCTATAAATCCATTTTTCTTCCTGTAGATTTGAACCAAAACTCAACCTGACTCCATTATTTTTTTTTTGTCTGGAGAGCTGAACATGATCTCGGCCTGATTCACTTATTCTCTCTGAAGACTTGACCTGCCTAACACTGGCCTGATTCCATTTCTGTTCGCGTCTGTGTACATTTGGACACCCCACCTTCCTCCCACTATCAAATGTAATTTCTGTCTCTCTGCAGATTTGAACCTAAACTCAACCTGATTGTATTATTTCCTCTAGTTTAATATACACTCTGTTCTGTTTGTGAAAATATGATTGTAAACTCTGCCAAATTTAATTTCCTTTGCATAAAAAAAACCTTGGCTTAATTCCAGTTTGTCCTCTGTAGAGCTGAGCATACACTAATTCTATTTCCTCTCCCTCTATCTGTTTTAAGATCCATCGCTATTAAAATCGGCCTGATTCAATTTCTCTGTTTCTGTGCCTTTTTTGTTTTTTAGATTCGTCTGTACGCTCGACCAGATGCCATTTCTAGCGGAGCGGGCGACTACGCTCTCCACATCACCAAGAGGCTTCTGGGATTTTACCAGGACTACTTCAAAGTCCAGTACTCACTGCCCAAGCTAGGTAAGGCTGCTGACGTCTCCCTCTTCCGTTGATGTTGTTTGCTCGCGTTGTTGGTGGAGGTTTGCCCTCCTCCCTGCTGCAAGGATCGCCTCTCAGATTCAGGTAGAGGCAGAAAGAGTCTGTTCCTCTGATGTTTGATTTCCTGTCAGCTCTCATTAAATAAAAACCACACTGTTAAATTTCGATCACCCCTGCTGATCCAAATTAGGAAAGAGAAAACAACTTCCTCTTCCTGGGCTGCCTGTATTAGGGAAGTCAGCCAAGTCTTTGTCCTTCGCACAATTGCTGTTGGGTTCATCAATTTGTACTCATATCAGGCAAAGACAACACTGTGTCCTCCTTTTCTTCCTGTGCGTCGGGGGGGATGTGCACTGTGATTAGGTCTGGGAATTGAACCTCAGTCACAGCCGTTTGTGTTCAGATGTTAAACACTGGTGCTTTTGAGAGTTTCAGCCTATTTGGTTAAATGAAAAAGAGATTCTGTAGAAAGATGTGTTAATACTGAGCAAAGTAAGGTGTCAAAGTAAGAACTGCACCTTGCCAGCTCTGTCCCTTCATCCTGCTTATTTTTAGACTCCTGAGGTAGCTGGTTATCTAATTAATTAAATACAACTGAAGAACATTTTAAAACACATCTTTCATAGTCTTTTGAAGCGTTTTAAATGTTTTTGTATGTCAGCTGATGTCGGTTCACTTGAATTGAAGTTAAAAGCACTGAACGAGAAAGTGATGCGCGAAACAAAGGCTGTGAATTGACAGTTAACGTAAAATGCAAGAAAGAGAGGTTTGGACATGATTAAAGGAGTGGAAGTGTCAGTGTGGAAGTGCTAAAAGGAGTTGAAGTGTCAGAAGAGGTGATAATAGTAGGTTTTCTGTTTTTTATTTTGTCTTTTCTCTTAAAATATGATCATATTTTGAGGTAGTACTTAATTCATTGGAAGCACTTGATGAAATGGCTGTAAAAATAAGTTGAAGTGGTGTTTTAATTAAATGAAACACAGCTGTGTGAAGTAGAAGTGCTGCAAGAGGTGTCACGTGACAAGCAAATACCGAGAGGATTTTTGTGTTTTTTATTTTAGATTAAAGTTTTAAATAGCTCACTTTACCTGTCTTAATAGTTTTTGAACTTAATGAACTCAATGGAACAGAAGTTGGACCTGGCGCTGTAGTTGAATGGCAGCTGAAACAGAAGCATTGGAAGAAGTTGAAATGCCAGTTAAAGTTTAAGTGTGAAAGGAGCTGAAGTGTTGATGATGATAACATTCCAGTTTTATTTCACTCTCTTTAGGGCTCTTTTGTGCAATTTCATGCCTTTATTTACCTTGTATTCAGGGTATTGAGGTAGTCGCTTACATAAGGAAAAATTCAGGTAAAATAGTCCAGTTTTTTCCAGTGAAATATAACAGTCCAAAGAGCACAATTTTATTCTTTGCACCTTCTGAAATGTGTGTGTATTGCTGTGATTAGAGATGTTGGAGGAAATTCCTTTTGACCCTGAGTTTAAGCACTGAAATCAGTTGAAGAGGCAGTTGAAATACAAGCGATGTGCAGCTTTGCTTTAATGTGTAATCCTGATCTATTTTTCCATCAACACTGATGCATAGAGTAGTGAGTGTATTGAGCAGAGAGAGAGAGAGACAGGTGTTGGCGATCGGAGCAGAGGGAAAGGTGAAGTTGTCCAGTGGCAGTTAATGTACAGTGAAGGTGACAGTTCAAGATTCAAGAACTTTATTTGCCATTTGTGCTTGCACACATA